CTCCCCTCTTCTCAGGATAAATCACCCCTTCTTAAGGGCCAGATCAGGGCTTTCTCCTCCAGAAAACCCTTCCCGGGTGACATTGTCCACACGACCACTATCTTCTCTGGCCCACAGAGCCCGCTCTTTTCACTCTGGCCCTCAGCTGGATTATGCCCTTGGGTGGTCCTGTGGCAATGTGAGTCCATCTCCTTGCCCAAACAGCACGTCACCTCTCCATAGATCGCAGGGGAGACCCTGCACCTCCTGCCTGCCCTCCTGGCCCTGCAGTCTTGGCAGGGCATTCACTCCACAGAGGTGTTTAATTTAGAGGTATAGATTCATGCTGGGGGGAGCCCAATGTATATGGCAGTTCTGCTTTTAGCTTGGTCTCCAGATAATCTTGGAGAACCCATTGCCTATTTCCCTCCTGGCCCAGGTCTAAGTCCATAGTCAGCTCTGACTTCCTAGCACCATCTGCATCCTGCCATACAAGTGCCCCTCCATCTCCAAGGCTACTACCCGCCTTCCAGATCACCCACCCAACTTTGGATCGTTTTCTGTTTTCTCCCTGTTTTCTATTTTCTTCTATGTGAGGCTTCTTGGGCCTGGAAGACATTTACCCCTGTTGCCATTGCTGTTCTGAGGCTTCTCACTTGGGGTGACTTTGGTCTCTCTATCTAGACAATGAATTCTCTGCAGGTCTTGCTCCCCTGCTTTCGGTGGGAGATGACAAGGGCTGGATGCATGCAAGAACTACTGAGAAGTAATGCCTCCAAGCCAAGCAGCATGGACTGGGGAGGCTGGGTGGCTGCATGTGTTCTGAACTCCCTGTTCTCCTCCACAACCCTGAACTCCTTTCCAGAGAGTAAGGCACAGATGACTGAATACAGTGTCAATTCCCTGCCTTAGTCAGATTAGCCACTGGTATCTATAAACTTCACCCTGAGCACCTACTGTGTGCCCATCACTGTGAGAGGGGTTTCGGAGGAACAGGGGGGACCAGGTCACTGGATGCCTGCTCTCCAGGAGTTCGCCATGGAGATGGAGAGAGAGAATCCACAACCAGGAGAGCCGGAGCAGGTCTGGAGGTGTGCCCACAGCCAGGGCTGTAGAATGTGGGTCAGTGGGTGCCTGCAAGAATGATGGGTGGCTCACTGAAGGGAAACTGAGCACAAAGAGGGCTCCCTCCCCACTGGAAGGAACATGGGAGAGGCAAAGAGAGTGGGTGATCAAAGGCAATGGTAAGGTCTGAGTTCCTAACCTGCCTGACCCAATACCCTACATGGGGGTAGGCAGTTCTGACACCCCCAGAAATGAATCCGCAATGAAATGTGAGCCCCAAGCCCAGAGAGGAAATGAGAAGCAATTGTTCCCAACTCCCACTCCCATTTTCCAGCCTTCTCCCTCTCTCTCAGTGGATAGAATAATTGTGACCGTGAAGTGGCACTTGGAGAAAAAGTTTTAAATCTCCTTAAATGTCACAGTGAGTGATACTTTGCCCCCATCTTTCCCTAATTACATTTCTCTTTGATGATCTAAGGTTAAAAAAAAATTAACTCAAGTCTTCCTAGAATATCAAGGGCAAGGATACCAAAGAGCCAACCTAACATGTTCCATCCTATTTTTCCAGGGTCCTGCTCCTATATTGCATTCATGTAAGATACCTGTCTGTGTTATTTTATCCCTGACACTCTGCTGCTTGGAGAGATGGGAGCCTAAGAGATTCAGCTCTGTGCCTTTAAGAGATCAATGCCTAGGAAGAAGCTGCCTCTGCTGCTGTTTACACAGGTAGCTCAGTTATCACAGGACTGGTGCCCTGGCTGCGTCTGCCCCAACAAGCTGGGAGGGAGGAGGTGTTCTTGGTTCACCATACACCTGCCAGAAAGCTGAGAGGTGAGGGTTGTGCTACGCCCCAAGGGGAGATGGCCCAAATTCAAAATGAGTCATTATCAGGTGGGCTAGAGGGAGGAGGAGAAGCCTGTCTAAGGAAGAAGGAGCTCTCCACGGCCTTGCTTGGGTCCACATACAAAGGGACACAACACAGAGAAGCAGTTCTGGAGGAAGCTGGCACAATGCAGCATGGACATCTGAAATAATCAGGTGTCCCTTTTTATTAGCAACCCCCCTCTATATTCACACTGGCCCAAGGACAGCTTTTATTTATGTACTGGTTACTATTATTAATAATAAATATGAATAATTAAACAATTGTGGATAATTTACTTGGATGTGGGGGTTGACTGGGGTGGTGGCACGAAAAAGAGGGTGAACCCCAGTGGCCTCTCCTCAGCTGTCCTCTCCTTTTCCAGCTGCCCTGACTTTCCATTGCTATGTCTTTGCTTTGAGGGGGTGGAAGGCAGGAAGAGGGAGAGCCCTCAGGAAGGAGCTACTCTCCTTAACTCCCTTATGATGGCAGAAAATATATTCCACTCTGCTGTGAGCTCCTGGGAGTCAAGCATCAGCACTGAAAGATGATGTTGGAGGAGATGCTTTGGATAATTAGCTTCTGCTGATGTGGAGGGGGGGGGTTCAACCTGCTAGGCCCACACACACACATATGCACACGCGTGTGAAGAGTATGAACACAAACCGGGTCTGTGCACATGTCCAGGCTGTATCCACGCAAGCACACATAGTCAGGTCAGGACAGGACACACATATTCCTCCTGCCAAACACACACACCCTCCATGTGCTTACCAGGACATGTCCACGTCATTACAACACCTCTCAGGCACACCAAGCACACAGCCATAGCAGGCAGACTCTGAGTTTCCGTTCCCTTCCATCAACTCAGGACAATTTCCACACCAACGTAAAATAACTGGATAATGTAAGCCCAGGATACCTAGTCAGAATCAACTACACTTACAATTCCATCAAGCAAAGACAGAAGAATCTAAAATGAAAGGAAGAAGTTCCACAGTTCTTAGAACCTTACTTGCTTTTTGATTTAGGCTCCCATCCTTCGAGGGAAGCTTGGGGTTCTGAGGTGAACCTCGAACCTCGAACCTCGGGGCTGGGAACCTCAGGGCCTCGGGCCTCCTCTGGCGCTGGAGAGTAGCACTTTGTGGTTGTACCACGCCGGCTTGGCCCGGGTTTACAGACTGCTGGGGTCTCGTTTCTTGAAATAAATGTTAAAAACATATCGTGTAGTAACTTGGTGTAATTCGAGAGTAAGAGCAGAGAAACCCAGAGCACCCGAAAGTGGCCAGCCCGGGACCCTCCGGGGTTAGGCCAGCAGCTCGGCCCGCCGCCCCAGCTCCCAGCCCCGCGGGAAAGCAACGCATGATTTTAACTGGCCCGACTTCTGGTGCTGGGAAAAGCTGTCCTGGAAAGACAAATGCGGGAGAGGATGGGGTGCAGGTAAATACCATTAAAATGAAAATCTGCTGCCCCAGACAAGTTCACCACCAGTATTCGCACCCAGAGGCGGGGCTGCTCCAACCAGCTCCCACGCGTGCCACTCCCTCTCCAGCTCAGGGCAGGTCCCAGACCCGGCGGGCCCGCGGGGGAGTACGGTGAGGCACTGGCTGGGAGGCTGCGCCTTGGGCTTCAGCCTGCAGACGCCACTCCCCGCCTCGCACCTCTGGAGCTGGGGTGCAGCAAAGGAAACCCGCGGGTGCAGCGCACGCCGCTGGAGTCTGGGTCCAGCTGCAGCCCGGAGAGTGATTCGGGGCTTTATTTCTTTGATGGTGAGTGAAGAAAAAAAAAATTCCCCCCAATTTTAACCAGTAAAGCAAACGAGGGAAAAAATCAAGCCAGTGCCCCCGCGCTGGCTCACCGGACGCGGCGCCCAGCGCTTTCCTCCCTCCTCGGCCGGCCGGGCGCAGGCTTCCACCTTCCTCCCTCCAGCCGCTGGCCGGCCGAAGCGGCCGCCGCTCTCCAGGACGGGCCAGAGCGTCCGGGACCGAAATACCCATCCCGCCTTCGAAGAGCACCGGGACGAGAACGGACCCCAAGTCTCTACCCTCAGTCCCCCCGGTACAGCCCAACTGCTCCCCAGCCCCGTCTTCCCAGGTGGCTCGGGTGGCGGTGGATGCCCGGTGGGAGGGAGATCTGGGGCTGCTCTCGCAGGTTGGGGACGCGAGGAGGTACAGAGCAGAGACAGAGAAGCGGGGAGAGCGCGCGCCGGCGAGAGAGCTCCTGTCTACAGATTTATCCACATAATATATATTTATGTAGCTTTTTTTTCTCTCGACACTGATCAATGCGCACTCGGATCGCTGGGCGGACTCCCTCCAAGCCTGCCCGCTTTTTCTAGTCTAAATAAATAAATAAATGGAGCCAGATGGGAGAGGAAAGCGCCCATTCCACCGCCGCCGCCGCCGCCTTCGCCGCCCCGCCCGCCGTCCCTGCCTTCGCTTCGCCCGCCCGTCGCCCCAGTGGAGCGCAGCTCGGTGGATACCCCCTCCCCCCACGCCCACACGAAAACGAAAATCAATGTTTTTAAAATACAAAAAGTTGCACCTGCTTCTATTACAAAAAGAACCCCCAAAGGGTAACGAGAGGAGGCCGACTGCCCGGTTCCTAACGGGCACCCGCTGCCCACGGCCGCCGGGCCCCGGAATCTCAGCACCTCCCGAAGAGCCATGCGCCTGGCGCTATTTATAGCCGGGGGCCGTCTCGGACTGTACCAACGCCGCTCCGCGGGGCCGCCGACGGGGGGGAGGCGCAGCAAGGCCGGCGCCGCCCCACGCCGCCCTGCCCCCGCCGCCGCCCGCCG